ATAGAGATCTAGTTTGAGTTCAAAATCAATTGCGCCGTCGCGCTCATCATAGTGCTGTAATGGTTAAAGCCTGCAACTATCAACCAATCACTGATTTATCAAACACTAAAGATAATTGAAATTTTTGTGATCAGCGAAATCCGAAATTACTGTGATATAATACCAACGAAAATTCGTAACAGCAGTTTAAAAAATTGGATAAATATACTATTGTTTTCACATAATATTGAATTTTATTAAATTATAATGATTACGTTTTCCACACACAATCAACACATTTACGTTACACCTAGCAAAAGTGTAATCGACAAAGAATAATTGATCATTAAATTAATTCACATTGTACGATAAATATACTTTATTGGCGCCAAATAGTTGAATAATAACTTACTCGCATCAATTATCTCGGTAATTATCCGTAATTTATTAACTGAGTTAATATAAACAAAATTCGAAATTATTATAATCCACTACAGCAACAGTCAAATATTAAAATTATATATGTTAGATCGAGGAAGTAAATAATTTTAAACTTATTCTTTTATGATATCATGAATGTGTTTTATACAAAAGAAATCATAGGCAGATATGATACAACTCAGAATGAGTAGCTAAATTATGGAGCCCCTGCCATGTTCTTGATTATTCTTAAACAATGTCAATGAAATTTGTGTATCAATGAAGAGCTCTCAGTCAAAAGTTGTTTAAATTCGTCAACATGTGAGAAATAATGATGATAAAATGAAAGTCTGTTTTCCCAGTCCGAAATAAAATATTGGTAAATTTTTCAGGTATTCACGTCCATATCAAAAAGGGCTTCGTCGTCTGAAATACAAAAAAAAACATATATTTTAACCAATTAAATACTCTGCTATACCGATCACGAAGAGTTTTTCAGTTTTAGCTGTTTGCTACTTAGTTCTTTTAAAAATTTAGACTCCCCTCCCCCTACTGTCGGAGTAGAACTATAGCATTATGATATGCAAATATCGGGCTTTTGAAAGAAAATTAGGGTACTGTAAAAACTAGTGTAAAAGCCAAGTTCTTTTCAACGCAGATTCAGAGAGTGGGTCACTTGCGAACATGCGATTTAAAATATATATTTTAGTAATTCAGCAACACAATTATTATGAGTTCATCACTGCAGCAAACTGTTAAAAATACGCCGATATCTTAATGGGTCCAAATATAAATTTCATGTTCTCATACGGCCTTGTAATTAATATACGATATAACGATAATGTTCATAACTAATAAAATGCTCACCACTTTCGGGAATGTCACGTTTTGATCGCCACGTTGTTATAAAAGTTGTAACACTGAATGATGAGCGTCTGGAAAAGATAAAATTGTCATAATAAACTTTTATTTGTAAATGAAAATGATGTTTTTAACTGAGCTATTTTAAAGATCTACGAACCAAGGGTTTTATACATGCAAAAAAGTATTACAGTTGCATTTATTATATAGCTAAGTGATGTGTAATACAATTTTACCGTGACTGTAATTGTGCTACTTTAAAAGGAACATCCGGATAGAGTTTTCTTGACCACCATGACAAAAGTGTACCAGATGTTTGCAAGATACTGAGAGCAAGGCAACAAGACATTGTAATAATCACATAAAACTGTAGTTTAGACATATTGATACAGGTAGTCCTAAAAAGCAACCTGAGAATGGAAACTCGTGGATTATGCCGACTGCTTGATTAAACCATGGCGTTGACTGTGGGGTCGAAAAAGTTCATCAGTACTTTCTGACGCCAACCATTTAAAAACCGCCACCTGCTGAAACTCCCGACATCAAGTTGAACAAATCAAGTTGAACAAACCCTAACCCTATCTTTAGTTCACGAATACGTGTCCATCCCAGCTCCCACCGCTGAAAATTATAAAATTTTGGCTGCTTGAACAGTTGATATAATTTCGACCGGAAAAAAAAGTCCAAAGTGTGCTTTCGAATGCGATTTCAGATTACATAAAACCCCAACTCACTGACTCCAGAGTCCAGACTCCAAACACCTCCTCAAAGCCATACTCATAACATCTCATGTCTTTCGTAATTCGTCAAATTGCAGTAACGTAATACAGTGAATTGAAATTTTACCGACTTATATACTACAACACGCCCGCAGTCATAATGTGATGTTTCAGTTTATTCCTTTCATATTTTAATAAATGTAATTGCTTTTTAATTTCTCAAAAAATTCAATTAACTTTCCAATAATCACCTTTATTGAATTGAATTGCAACCAATAATTCCACATTTTCGTCACATCGTTGTCGGATTATTATCACAATCGGTATTAATATTATGACAAAACGTGTCGTAATTATTATCGTAGTTGCTAATAAATTGGAAGCAAAACTGGATAATTCATCCGGTGGTGTCAATCATATTTATTATTTAATTTCTTGAAGCTGAAAGACGGCAATTTGCGAGATAAGCTATTCCAATCAAATATATCAAAACAAGTACTCTTCTCGTCAAAAGCAAAGTCTGATGGACTGGGACTAGCGCTCGGTATCTTCGAACACCTGATGATTTCAGAATCGAATAGTTTTTTTATTCGAATCGAATCACGAATACTCAAAAGATATGTAATTGTTTTTAACTTTTTCATTGTAATGGGTTCTCCAGACACATAAACTACTTCAAATATAGTTCAATCACTCATATAGTTTGCTGAGTATTCACAAGAAATAAGAAACAACTACTCACAACGAAGAAAAGAGTAATAAGTCGGAATTGCGTTGTAAAAATATGACTTCAATTGAAAAAAAAATTATAAATTCATCTCGCCCTTTTGCAAACAGAAAAAAAAAACAGGATGGGAAGATACGAAATTTTTGTCGATACTGATTCGAATAATTTACTATTCGTTTCCAATATTCGGTTCGAATTGCCTAGCCCTAGCTGTGATATTGTGTTAGACAATAGAATAAAGTACAATTTTGCAAGGTGAATTACAGACATGATTACTATCACGATGACCTTCACCATCAGCATACATGGCATCTGTGACAAGGCCGTGGTTTGTTTATATTGTAAAATTAACCAGATTTTCGGCTTCTGTCCCTCTTTTCAGAATTAGCATAAAATAAAATGAAAATTTTATTCACTGAAATCATAGTATACTTGTAATCTGAAATCAGCTGGTCTTATTCTGCCCGCGTTCTAACTCAGTTTCAAAGTTCGAATTATTTATATGCATAAACCAACATCTACAACTTAAACCTAAAAAAGTAAATAATAGCTAATGGTCTTGGTACATTTTCATTTGTTTTAGTGATACATGCATTTTTGATTTGGTCAACTCGAGTGAGGAAAACTGGGTCAAGAATAAAATAATGATTTGACTTCACTTGATTTTCACAGTGTCTTTTAAGAGATCGCTAAAGTGAAAATTTGTTTTTACTTGACTGTAGCAAGGTCGAGAACATCAAATGATTTGGAATGAACTCCAAACCCATGGATTTAGTTTTAACTTGACTTGTGAAAATCAAACTTGACTCAAGCCAGTTTAGCAAGTCTTGATTTAAACTGGAGAGTTGATGACTGCGAAATGAATGTACTTTTGAGTTCTTTTAATTAATACGTACGTTCTTTTAATTAATACATAGCTGTAGCATATCGCAAGTACTGTACCTACTGAACGTAAGTGTCAAGTATGGACGATGCAACGTTTGAAACAAACGAAATGTGTGATCATATTGAATGAAGAAATATGTTTCTACGGTTTTTTGAGATTAAAAAATTCGAATTGGGGTTAAAATTTAGGAATAAATCACAAAGTATCTGTTTTTAATCGTGGTTGAAAATTGTTACTGGTTCTATTTCACTTCACGCAATAAAAGGTTCACACTCGCGTACATTACACAGGTTTAATAAAATTTTTGTTTTATGTCTTAAATATGTATTATAGGAAGGTTTACTCAATTTGAATATGCTGATATTTAAAATTTGAGATAAGAAAATATTCATATATGAAATTATTTCTTAGGCGCACACCACCTCATAAGAAATTTGAAACACGAAAGCATTATACTTTGAATACATAATTTTTATTTTCGATAAAACTATGTAAACTCGAGTATAAAAAATTGTTGAGATATTCCTGTAATTGATCAAATCCTCTCCAAATGGTGGGATCTGACTGCCGAAAGGGGTGTGCTAGTATCGAATTTCGTATAAATTAAAAAATGAAATATTTGATGTGGCATTGGTATGTTTCCTAAAAAAATATGGACATCAGCAATATGGACAGCAATTGAAAGCAAAACTGATATTATCTTATTTGCTGATACAATTTTCAGCATCGATGTTATTGTTGTGTTTAAAATATTAAATTTCAACGGCAATTTAAATGACGTATAAATTGTGTGAAAATCGAAAACCGACGTGACGTGTTAGGGAGGCAGGATACAATAATAAATAGTGCGCAATATGTTACTTATTTACTGCATGTTTGCTATATTCTGAAAGTGTCAGATACTTTTATGTTTTATAAACAGGCAATGTATGATAATCTGAATAGAAATAAAATAAGGTCAATTGAGGTCAACAGATATAGTATGGAGAACAGTCAAACAAGTTACAGTATGGATATTTTGAGAAGCTATTTTTATCTTTGAATTTTTCAATAGACTTCTACGATTGAGACTATTCTTAAGGCAATTGAACTCAATATTTTTAACGCAATTACCAACTGTTTTTATATCCATGCTTCTTCGTGTCTTCTATTTTGAACAATTTCCTGTAAAAGCATCCACTAATGTGGCTAGTCTTTCAGATCGACCGGAATATTTCCTCTTTCGGCCTTGCCCATTGAATCATCATCCCTATCACACTCTGGGTAAAGTAGTTAGCTTAAGATTTGAACACAAGATCTTCACCCAGTGAGGCCAGTATAGTAAGTTTGATACCTTAACTACCTGCCCATCGCGCCCACAAAGGAGTATAATTCTATAGATAGTAAGTAGATTCCATCTCGCTTTTTGCAATCTATTTCCTTCAGAACTTTTAAAAACGCGTATTTACATAATATATATGCTTTTTTTAAATTGTCATTAGACACTTTCCAACAATTTTTATAACTCGTAATAAGGAATATGAAAGTTTATAGGATCCTCGTAATATTGTTTACAATTTCTGGATTTATAATAACCAGTCTTGGACATCAACGAGGCCGTCGAAACATGTGGTATGAACGTGTGCCAACAACACGAAGTCCTTCCGTGGCAGGACTTTCGAGGTAGGAATCTTTATTTATAAAATTATATTGCACTTTCCACCAGGATGCTTTGTAACTAAAATGTTAGTTGAGCAGTAAGCACAAAACATTTATAAAAGTTAGCAAGAGAGCATTGCTCAAATATATGGACACGAAGGTTCAATGATTGAATTCTCTTATCATTCAAAAGCTTCAAATCAAAATTGCAAATCGAGTCCCACATCCTGAATTCACAATATGAAATTTTGAAAGATTTGTTCATTGGCATCGGAGAGACCAATTGTTCCTAACAACAAATGTCATCCAACAATAACAACAATTTAGCAAAGCGCTACATATGAATGTGTCCAATAAATGATACATGTGTTGTAGCATTCAAAAAATGGCGCTCCCGAAGTATGTGCACAAAGATGGCGCACAACCTGAACCCTAACCTGGTTCAACTACTATGTTCAGGTTGTGCGCCATCTTGGTGCACATAATTCTAGGGGTCCAAAAAATACTATAAATATAAAATACTATTACGTACCCATTTAGTGTAACCTTATAATCATATTTCACGCTTTAAATATTTTACAAAGCTTTTTTTAAATCAATGACAACTTTCTACAACCAGGACACATAGAGTACCCATAACATGGAAAAGAAAAAGGCGCGAGTTGGAAATCGAAGAGCTGGAAGAAGGTAGATCAAATATTGAATATTTTTTCTGTTTATTTGTCGCACTTTTTCGGTCAGATTTAGTATAATTTATATGCAATTTTTGCTCAAATTTTTACTGTTTTGTTTTCAGATATTTCTGAACTTTTCGATGAGGAGTAAAGAAAACGGATACACGAATTCAAAATCTTGCAAAATGAAACATACTTTTTGTGCTATTAATAAAATGAAACATGATAAACAATACAAATGCGCTTCGAGTAGCCTATTTACACATATATGATTTTATTATTACCATTCTCTGTATAAGTAGCAAGTTGAAAAAGTTAAAAATTACGTCAAATAAAAACAGTTGCAATAGTTGAGATTTGAAATGTTTTGGTGTTTAAAACTGTATTCAATCTCTATCGTGTTGAAGTACTTTTCTGAGACACCAAAAGTTCAAAACATTTTTGTATTTGTAGATTCGTCGTAAACGTCTGTATTTATTCAGTCTTTTATCATCTTTTTGTTGTTCAAAAATATTGCGTTTAGTCGAAGAGAACGGTGTCTTCATCCACTATTATGAATAATAAAACAAATTTGTCTGTTTACCCATTTAAACAGTATTCAAGCTCCTCAAGTGAAAAATAGTCAGGTATTGGCACCATCAATGTGATACTGAACCAGATGAGTGGCTAAATATAGACTACCACCCTCTTCTTTACTATAAAACTTTTCTATAAAATAATAAATATATTGGCCTTGAACAGGAGGTTGAATAATACGATTCATCCGAAAGTTTCAAAACGGGTAAGCTATGTGAAAGATTTTGGTTGTTACGAGCTTTAAATTATTCTCAATTAAGATGCTCAATTAGAAGGTTTTGTTCCCATCAAATTAATATATATATATATATATATATATCACAACTAGATAAATATCTAATAGATAACAACTAGATAAATGATAAAAAGTAATGATAAGACAGTGACAGCATTGTCATCTGTTTAACAAAATTGAACAAATCTAATTGGAAAACGGCCAACCTAGCCTCGTTATATTTACGTGTATACACAAATAATTGTATTTAATTTTACCGCAATATTTTATTAAAAATTTTGAGCAATTTTCCCATCAAAATATTCATTGAATCGACCAATTATTTCAATGCGGGAAGTATCAAATTTGCCCGATTCGTGTGGGAGTGGAAGTACTAACAGTAACAACTAGCCTGAATGATTTTTAAAATTTATATTCCACGAATCAGAACTCGGAGCTAAATTCTGTATATCCCATTTATATTGTTGTGAGACGATGAAATTGTAAAAACTAAATGTATTTGAATTGAAATATAAATCGTAATAAAAATGTCTCACTTTTCTCAATATCTTCTTCTTTCATTGGACTTCTTTTACTTTTTGAATTAGACCAAGCACCGCCGCCTCTTATGTGGCTGTATTTTAATAAAATATAAAAAAAAAACGAATTATAAATTTTCGAATTTGATCACTAAAATGTATTCAAATGTCAAAAACTTTTCCAATCCCAGGTGTTTATGGAATGAAACTTTGTTACTAAATTTACCAAAACCGAGTCTTATTTTAAAAATAATAATAACAGTGGACCTGATCTGAAATATATAGACACGAAAGTCAGATGTCATGCAAAAATGATTCTTGAAATGTCACATGAAAGTATTCCTATGAGTTAAATGAAAATAGCAAATTTTCAAAGGAAAAGATTTATAAAACGATTCATAACGTGTTCAAAAACAAGAGAGCGATGCTCAAATATATGAACTCCAAGGCCACAGGCAATCTGTCACATTAAACGACCGGTATGGAAATCTTCACGACTAACGCGAAAGCGGAATTGCCACAAGGTGCGCAATTTGGATGACGTCCTCGCAAAAACAAAAACGAATCGCATAGAGAAATTTTTGAAATAAAAAAAAGTAATCGCCTTCTAGCAAAAATACAATCTCCAACCACTGGAAAATTTTAGAGCAAATGATCAAATAGTTAATGAGCAAAGCAATATGTATAACAATATCAAAAAATACCAACGCGAAGAACAACAATAACATATTAACACAACGATCCATATGTACATTACGTGTCCAAAAAATGAACAGCGTGTATTTGTATGGCAAATACTGTTGTATGCCAATTTCTCAAACAAAGATTTTCTAAGATGTCTGCTATCATGCGATAGTGAATTTTCTATATAAAATTGCAATAAAACTACTAACCGGTTCTGATTTGTCCCTGGTGGACTAACAACCCGACCTCGAGTGGGAAAATCGTCGGATAAAAACCCATCAGACGAAGATAAAATGGTCAGCGTAACACAAATAAGGATGATTCGTAACAGCTTATAATTTTCCATAATATATATGTAGGCCGATTATACAATTTTCTTTCTAGAATATATCACAGCAATAAATTATAAAATCAGGGCTGTTTGAAAACATAAAATCTTAGAATAAAGCCAATTTACATATGAGACATGATTCGATGTTCTTGGAGTAAATTCTCAAAACAAGTTCAGTTTTGGTAAGAGTGTGTTTTTATACAATCACGACCGTCACTCCAAATAAGGCTATGTACGGGCAGTAACTTCTGGATAATGAGGTACTATTTTTAGAAGGACTGAAGTGGAATATTCCAGTAGTTTTTTCTGCAATGTCAATGTCAACATAGATAAGTCCAAGGCTTCAACCGGTAGGCGATCGCACTTACTAATTGATTTCTGATACACTGCCCGAATGCATAGGTAGTTTTGGCGGTTCAAAGCTGTCACGTTTCCCCCTTTCCGGACCAAAATATCTCCTATAGCTACCTGCTATGAGCAGGCAGGCCTACGTCTGTCGTCTACGTTTACTTCGTAACTAAATCATCTTGCAAATATTTGATTCCGCTTATAAACCCTTCAACGTACTAGCATTCGTAAACATGAGTCGTTGCTTTCTCTGATATCACAAAAGGCATATCAGATTGCTTATTTACCATTAAATGACGTTTCAAAACAACGGGAACATGACACGAAAACAACGTGCAATTGGAGTATTTAATTAATCGCTCAATTTAGAAGGTTATATACGTGTCCATATAAAGTCTCTGTCATCATATCGTTTATTATCATTATTTCTTGACAGCAAAGAATTGTTACTAAAAGCATTGGAATTGGCGGCTGTTTGTGATAAATGAGTTGAATAAAATTTTTGCATTTTATCACACATAAAGAAAAGGATTTTATTATTTTGCATGTTGTTATATAAATGATTAGGAAGTAAATAATATGAAATAAACAGAAATTCGTTACGTCCATTTCGTACTAAATTTCACCAGATTTTCGTTTTACAAGACGATACGTGCTCTAACACTGTCCTACACATTTTACTTCAGTGCGCGAGTGAAGCTTCTATCTTTGGTTGCCCATATCAGCGCGATTTACACTCTCAAATTCACTATACTAAAAAGCCTATGTCGTTCTTAATACCCCAACAGCTTTCGTTGCTATCAAATGCATAAGTAAGTGTATATTATGAATGACCGGAAGCAAATAAGTAAATGGATTTATATATAAAACAGGAAACAAGTTTACTATAATGATGTGTGAAAATGCAATCTTGTAAGTAGTAAAACATTTTTCAATCACACTTTGCCGATGTTTGAAATGCTATATTCAGTTAATTTCTGTAACGCATCAATAAAATGTAGATAATGTTGTCGTCAACATTCTGAGTATGCTATTAAGGTTCCCGTCCGCCGTACATTTGAACCCACGACAATTGCACCTGCATACTATTGCACCTATAGAATTTTTTTTTTTGTTTTACTGATATTTTAACCCATACTAACCCTATCCCATGGGTTTTAGCACCCCGCATATAGATTGAACCCGCGGATATACACATGGGTTCAAATGGACGTGGGTTCAAATGCACGGTCACCGGCTATTAATAATGTCATTTTACTATGAAACTCATACTCCATACTCATACTCATATAAACCAAGCTAGAGTTTGATAGGATAAAATTCTCCACACTTACGTCATAAATCACCTAGGATTATGGGATCATGATATTACGATGTCGCATTTATGTATTATTACGTCAAACTTGTGTTTTATGACGTAACGTTCGCGGCAATTCATAACAAAGAGCTGATGAATTTAACATACATACGAAGTGGATTAACATGCTATTTTTCATGAGTTTGTCGTGTTCATAATAGACGAATATTCTTTCTCGAGCAACATGCCCCAAATTCTATTTTCCGTGAAATTTCTAGGATTGTCATGCAATTAAATATGTTTGTGATATACTATCTCACGTTTGTGATAACATATATGCGTTGAAAAAAGCTACATCGAGAGAAAATATTTCATCTAATTTGTATATAGTCGAGCAACATGCCCCAAATTCTATTTTCAGTGAAATTTCTAGGAATGTCATGCAATTAAATATGTTTGTGATATACTATCTCACGTTTGTGATAACATATATGCGTTGAAAAAAGCTACATCGAGAGAAAATATTTCATCTAATTTGTATATAGTCGAGCAACATGCCCCAAATTCTATTTTCAGTGAAATTTCTAGGAATGTCATGCAATTAAATATGTTTGTGATATACTATCTCACGTTTGTGATAACATATATGCGTTGAAAAAAGCTACATCGAGAGAAAATATTTCATCTAATTTGTATATATATATGTAGCTAGTATGCATTGCAGTGCATTATTCTCCTCAACCTTGTTGCACTTGAGTTCCCGGTAAATGTTATTTCGTATCATAATCTTGAATTTATTCTCTAACATTACTTCTGATTGTATCACATATTTTTGGCGTTCCAGAAGTGTGTGTACCAACATCGAAGTAGCTAATATTGTTCGCCTACTTAACATAAAGTTGTGTAAAGGGACGGAAACCTATGGGCAGAGGGTATATTCACTTGGCTAACACAGACAGTCCCCGAACTCGTAATAGAACTAAAATAAGGAAAAATATGGCTTAACCCTAACCTGGTACACACATTACGGGAGTACCTATTTTTTGACTTACACAAAAGCAACATTCACTTCTGGGGATTTTCGAAACCAACACGTTTTCGAATTTTGCAATTGATTGCTCGTATTTATAAATATCTCCTACGTTTAATTTCTAAATGTTTCTATCCTTTGTAGTGTCGCATGGAAAATTTGGACACTTGGAGTCTACAGCCTTCTCACTGGATAATTATGCTTGTGCTCGTCGCCAGCCAGTAAGTAAGCCAGCAGGCTGATAACGAAACCATAAAACTGCAACCATTTCGTTATTGTGTCAGTTATTTGTCTCTTTTGATTTCAAAAGTTAGTGTTATAAATTTTTTCCTCTATTTATTGTCCAAGTCAATAGCCTTCTGATAATTCTGGTATAAATTTCCTTGAGTTGCTTAACCTTTAGGTCCAGCACATTAAAGTCTAATATATCAAACTCAAGCATACAACAATATTTCATTTATTACACAAATATGTAGAAAGGAAGTTTTTGACATGCTTTTTAGCTGGTATTTTCACATGTCCCCTCTATCTTTAAACACTTCATTCAAACAAAATGGCGTCTTCGTCAACTGCAGAAAATATTGAGTAATTAGAAAAATAGCAAATTATGAATTTTTGCCCAAGGTTATTAGTTACCTTGCTCGAAAGTTTCTTCTTTATCCAAGCTTCTTTTTCTTTTCCCTTGTCTCCACCCACCGCCTCCGCTGATGTGACTGTATAGAAAGATATTACTTGCAATCACTTAAGTTGGAATTACTAGTAGGCCTCAAACCGGAAGTCCAAACAACTTCAAATACGATCAGAGTTGAACGTGTACCTAGCTTTTTAGAAATGAAATTCTGTTACTCCTGAAGTATGCGCACCAAGATGTCGCATACCCTGAACCCTTACCTGATACACAACCTAAGTTCAGGTTGTGCGCCATCTTGGTGCGCATAATTCAGGAGGTCCGTAATTATTTTCGAGTGTCTGTTGAAGAAGTAGAAGGCCAAACTTATGTCAACTATTTACAATATTTTTCGGTTATCGCATACTAGCTACATAATAATTTACGTGAAACGATCCTATTGTTACTTTAGACAGTATCTTCAAACTTAACTCAATTTGCACCGTGATCGGTTATTATTTGAGACAATCCCATTCAGGCATGCCAGTTTCGTTGGCCACTACATGTCAACAACCTCATCTATGCCAAGTATGTTTATCATACAAATCCTATCCTTACATTAAATTATTTGATATATAATTGTGTTGTACATCTTCCTAAAAATGTGAAATGTCGGAGCTTGTGTCACAGTAAGATATACTCTCGAGTCTTAATTCTGTAGAATTTATTTTCGTTTCAAAATTTGATATTTGTATTTCCGTTTCGTCAAGTATTGATAAAAAAACTCACTTCGTTTTAGAAGATGTTTTCGGTGGATTGTCCGGTACTTTCGGTATTTTAATCGGAAAACATTCTCTACTAAAAGATATCACTATAAGCGTGATATACATAATGCAAATAGCATAATTTTTTCGATTAGTCATTGTATAATTTGTACCTTGTATTATAATAATGCTATTCAGAAATATAATTGAGTTGATTTTAGATAAATCTATTCAATTTATAAAGAGTGGAAATACCAAAATTGATCTACAAGATTTGCATAGAATAAAAGTTTTGTTTATTGATATTTTCAAAACAAAGTTAATATGTTGCAAGATGGTGCCATTTTAGCTCTGACAAAACAGCTTATTTGTCCTAACTAACTGAACGCGATTTAAAAATCGACATATTATGCAGATTACGAGTAATTTTTTTTATATTGTTCTCGTGATGTAATTAATAGAACATTGCAAGAAGGATAGATCAAAAGGTAATCCCATTCTTCAGGGCAACTCTAGTATAGTATACCCGATACATTGACAATAATGTCCCCTAATTCCGTTTTGAACCAACTTTGTTCACTTTAATACATCCCCATATAACAGCACTACTCCCACTATGTCGGTTATAAGACTTCGACTGTTTACGACTTCGTTTTGAACAAGAAATTATTCAACTTACGCAACTCACGCCCCCACATATTATCGTGGGGTAAAGTCCACTGTTCTTCGTTTTTAAACTTTGCGATAAAAGAAATCTAGAAAACTAAAAAAAATAGTGATCGAAGGCAAAAATTTCCAGTAAGTGGTAACAACGCACAATTGTTATCTTTGTATTTATGACAAAACAGGCGGAAACATGACCCTATAACAACTTCAATTTAACGTGTTGGATTATGACAATATATGTAGTAACGACCTGATGAATCGCAAAATGCAGTATCCTCTTACCCAAAACAACGATCGACGAAATGTCAAACTGTAAAATATTCAAACAATATGTTTGGCATTACACGTTGTGCTCAAAAACTACTTGAACAATTCTAACGTAGGTTTGTTGCTCAA